AGTTGAATTCCTGCTGTAATAAAACACCGGGTATATCGTAGATTTCAGCAAAACTAGGAAAGAGAGCCTGCAAAGTGCCATTTTTCTTCAGGGGGGAGACTCTTAAGTACTTAATTCAAACTGTGACCATTAAAGTGTCTCCTATCCGATTTAGGTTGATTTCAGATGTTGACAAAACTTTTATCTCTCCAGAGTCATGCACAGCTTGGCTATGTGACTAAAGCAGATGAGTGTGTGTTAGAGGGAAGGAGAGAGAAAGAGAGAAAGGAAAGAAGAGGAGAGCCTGTGTAAGGGTCATTTTGGCAGCAGAAGTATAGAGCTCACACAAAATACTACTGTCTTTAAAGGTCAAGGGTTTGAGGGGCCAATAGAGTTTGCTTTTAAAAAAACAACAATTAATGAGATAGAAAATTTGTCCTCTGGGTGAACTCTTATGGTTGCCCTAGCAAAGGGCAGACAATGCGCGATTTTGAAGCACAAAGTGGGATTTTCTAAGCTGTTATAACAAGCTCCTTTAAAAGACCAAATCTGAAACAGGCAAAACACTAAAGAAATGGCACAATCATCTGGATCATTTGGGAGCATTTTGACTTGGTAAAACTTACCAATACCTTAATAATCAACACACTTTGGGTAAAAATTCCATTTTGCACTGGAATATAAACACACACACACACACACACACACACACATCTCCATCCTTTCTCTTCATTACCCCTTTTAGCCCCATACAACTGCCTCTAGTATGTAGCTAATTAATGCTCTCATCCGCTTCCTCTACTACAAAGGAGAAATATAAGAATTTACCTTAATTGATGACAATCTGCCATGTGAGGTTTTGCTGCTTGACACTCAATTTCCACCAAGAGTCTAGGCATTTTTTGAGCAGACAGGCAAGATGCTGGTCTTTGCCCGAGACCACGTTATTTGCAAGAAGATCCCTTGCTTCTCCACAGACTTTTCCCAGAGAATGCCTTTCAGAATTGCTGTTGAATTACAAAGAAGTATTTATTGTATGAGGTGATTAATGATTCCTGGGAAAATTGCTATTTTCAGCGTGATTTAATTTCGTTTTACAAGTGCGTGTAGTAGAGGAAGGGTTAATAAGTCTCAGCAGCAGATGCAGTGACTCTAGAGATCCCTGGCACTCGTTCACACCTTATAAAATGCACTTTATGCCAGGTTTGGCCTGCCTGGGGTAGGCGGGCACTTGATTGCCCCTGAGTTTTCTTGGGGAGAGATGGAGGCCCCTCTGAGACTGGGATCCATCACTTCCCTCTCAGATCTGGTTTGTTCATAGGTAGACAGCAGCTTGCCCCTGCCTGTATTACACACAGGCAGTAGAGTAACAGCACTGACCACTGCCCCAGGGTTCACCACTGAGGGGAAAATGTGTTTAAAACTCCTCCGTTATTGCAGAGGTAGGTGAGCGCCCCCTCCCATCTCTGCTAAAATTATTACATGAACTAAACATTGCCCTCAGTCAAGGCCAAGTGACAATTCTAATATTCTGGGGCTAGTGTGTGTTGTTGTGTTTTTTTGTATCTTGTCCCTTCAGTGACAACCAAGTCCAAATTCTCTTGACTGATTAGTAAATCAGTAAACAAATGCTAGAGTTATGGAGATTGTGAAGCAGATTTTATTTTCAACCTTTTCAATCTAGGTCTCTAGGTTGGGCAGAAAAATCTGGGAGCATTTGAGGCAAGTGACCCTAGTTCAGAGTTTGGCTTTCTTCCAGTGTTGAATACTCCCAGGTCTACCTTGCTTTGGGGTGCAATTTAGGGTGTCATTAAGCCTTTTATTTCCTCAGAAGAAACTCTGGAGGGTGTACTGGGAAAATCCAGTTTACTTTAAAATTTCTTGCTTCAAAAAAGAAAGAACATAAGAAAGAAGCAAACAAATAAAAATTCCCAAGCTATGGTTAGCGAAGAGAGCCTTCAAAACAGCAAAGAAACAAAAAGCAACCTCAACCCTTTACACAAACTATTTTTTATCTCCAGGGAAACAGGCAGATGAAGTGCGAAGGTGCCATAAATACCAGAGGGACCACTGCTTTCCAAGTGTGCTCAGAGTTCAGCCAGCAGAGCAGCTGCAGCAACTCCTGGGCCCGCAGCACTGCACGGTTTCACCTTTCATTGCACAGAAGGACACGTTTCTGTGCCTTACAGAGACTTGAAGCCTGACAGCCTGGCCAAGTTTGGGAAGAAGAAGGAGCCCTCTCAGAGCTCAAGAGCCTTCATGCCCTTTGGAACTTTTCCCACCGTGGGTCAAACTTGACAAGAGTTCAGCTCAAGTTGAACACACTCACACACATTACATGAGCAGCCAGAATCCAAGTGAACACAACTCGAGCCATCTACAAGATTTCCTCCTAGGCAAGGTCAAGCACTTCAATCCAGAGCACTTTTTTTTTAAATTAAAAGTAGGAAACACACAAATGTGTTTTAGAACTTTAATGTTTTTTGAAACAGAGTTTATTCTCAGCAAGGCTTTCTATATAGCCATACCACGATGTGTACAGTTGGACATGGGTCTAAATGCACTCCCCTCTCCCCGAAGATTGTGCCTCGGAATAAGACAACAATATCTCTACAACAATATTTTAAATAAATGCAAGGAAGGGAAACTATTGTGTCACATCTACCATCGAGGTCTATACATTTGGAGAATTAAATAATCCTGTGAGGTCCACAATGTCTACTCATGTAGTATTCAGTTCAAGACAAGCTTGTATGAGCTGCCTTAATGAGGGAGGGGAGACAAGGAAGGTAGGAAAGGGTCTGTTTTCTTCTGTTTGCAACAAATATACATACACAGGTCCTTCCGCCGTCTCAAAAGTATGTGATGCCAAGTGGTCCTTCTCAGGTACCCAACCCTGGCAGCCTTCCTTAGGCCGGCAGGTTGCTCCACCAGCCAGCATCCTGGCCACTGGCCTCTCTTGGGTGGCAACCAGCACACACTCTTACCAGGAGAATGTCCTCTTCTTTTTATTACACTTTTCATCAAGTTGGGTTTTGTTTTGGGGTCTGTTGTGGTCCCGACAGATGGACGGACGGGGAGGGGTGGATGGGGAAAGGGGCAGAAGAGAGGAGAAACGCAGAGGAGGGAAAGAAACGGGTCTAGATCTCCAGGAGATTATATGGAGGAGGGGATGGGCGTGGAGGCACCCTGGTGGGGGTGGGGGTGGGGGTGGGGGTGCGGGTTTGGGTGGGGGCTCTGAGTCTGTGCTTTCCCCGGCAGGCCTGCGGAGGAGGAGGAGGCCGAGGCCGAGTTGGAGGACCGCATCTTAGTGTTGGGCAGTTTGTGGTCTTTCTTCCACTTCATCCTCCGGTTCTGAAACCAGATCTTGACCTGCCGCTCGGACAGGCAGAGCGCGTGGGCGATCTCGATGCGGCGGCGCCGGGTCAGGTAGCGGTTAAAGTGGAACTCCTTCTCCAGCTCCAGCACCTGCTGCCGGGTGTAGGCGGTCCGGGAGCGCTTGGGCTCCCCTCCGTGATACCCGGGGTTCACTGAGAGCCCAGAACCCCGAGGGGAGAGCCAGCCGAGGCGGAGGGAGTGGAAGGAGCGGGGAAGGAGGAGGAGAGAGAAGGTGGGGTGGGGAAGAGCAAGGGGACATCATCATTATCTAATAACCTGACACCAAGTTCACGCAAGATACATAAAACGGCACCGAAAGTGTTTCACGGGCTATTGACAACGGGGAGCACCCGGGAGCCATCAGGACCGGAGCTGGGCCTCGGGGCTGCAGAAAAGCTTCAAAGACACATGGCCCGGAGCCGCTGCCAGGGCCGCGGAATTTATGGGGGCGGTAATTGCGGCCCTAACCGTGCGGCGTCTCGTAAATCTCCCCATAAAGGGACCCCGGGTACAAAAGGGTTCCCACACTGGGCCCGGGCTGCGGGCGCGCAGCACCCGCACCCACTGCAGCTGGGGCCGCCGGGGCTCCCCTCC